TTTCTTTCCATCGTCGGCTAATATCTCAATCGTCGAAGGGGTTTTCGTCGGTACCTCGGCAACCGGCCGGCCGGTGCCCGTATGTACACGAACGCAGGCTTGATAATACGCAGCCATTTTCATTTACCGGCCGTGCAAGCCACGTGGGTAGGTAGACACACGTACCACCATACATTGGTCAGCTCACAGACCCGGTACATAGGTACAAGGCGAGTCGTTACAAAAGCAGCGGCCATTACGAGTATTACAGCGGCGGTTCGCGCGGCACGTCAAAGAGCGCTCATTAAATGCTGGCAATTAACTGCAGGCTAAGCTCTCGAAGGCTCAAGCTTCGCTCGTCTCTCTCGCCTCTGTTCGCGGAGCTGCGACTAGCCTCGCTCGGCCTCTCTCGCACTCGCGCTTTCCACGTCGGAGCTCGCGGCTGTAAAAGCGAGTCAGATCTGTGAGACTTGGGCCCACACGCTTTAATGAGCCGCCTTGCCAACAAGAACGATCGGCATGCGACCCATCTATCACCTCGCGACGCTATTATTTAACGCTTTGCATTTTGACATGGTTATATTTCTAATTTCCACTAAACCCCCCGAACAAGTGTTACTCTAATTGTTTGACCCGCCACCGACGAGCCTTCCTCCTAACGGATCAACCCTCGGAAAGAGGACATTTTTGATGACTTCATGAGCAGCGGTGTATTGGAGCATTCAAATCCTTGTTTACTAATTGATTCGTTTCTTTTTGCGTATTTCTTTAACCGTTTGAGTACTGAGTACTATCCGCTGAAACGTTTCGGACGAAATATTCGGTACTGGAAGAAATTCGTGCGGGTTCTTAAATTAAAATCTGAACATAGAGAACGTTTTTGTAAAATGAGTTTATTTTAGTTGATACCAACGACGTGAACTTAAATTGATGATAATGCCAACTTCATTTATTGAATTAGTGAAATACTGATTGAAATCGGAGTCAGGTCAGTGATGACAAGAAAATCGGATGAACTCTTTCCCGTACCTAATACTTTTTTGCTTAGCTTACCGTATAAAGGTCGTTGGACTCTGTTCATTCATACAAGGCGTTTAAGTTGCAACTGTAATCCCTCTGTTCCGACAAATCAAGGAATGCTATGAAACAGGTATATCCAGCTCATACATTTACAATTGTCACTGCGATATTTGTAGCGATAACTGTTGCTGGACTCATATATGCATCCGTAGCATTCGAAGGGTTAACACTTAGCACTCCAGATGGTTTTGTAATCTATCAGCAACTGCAACTAATTTTTATAGTATCCCTAGCGAAAATGAAAAATGCTATATTTATTTTCCTTCTTAGTGCAAAATTTGGATATGTGAAAAGTTTAATAATTGTAGGGTAGTTTTTTTAAGATTCATTAAAATATCTAATATTATTCCTGATGCAATATTGGAGTCTATAGAGTTCAAAGGGTTAAACGTACCAATAATATGACCAGGGATTGAAAAGGTTCCGAAAATAACTGTTTGAAACTGTTATATATTGGATCGAACTGAAACGGTTATGGAGAACCGAAGTAAAGTCATAACTGTTATCTGGTAATCGATTCTGAGCTATATCGGTTTCGATTCCGGTTCTTCAGAACCGATATTATATTGGTTTTATACGAGATCTATAACTGTTATTTTTCAGTTCTGCGTTTCTCTCAAAAGTCATTAAACTAAAATATGTACGATGTAGCAATTAATCATTTACAACATGAAGTATTAGTTAACTGTGGAATTTAATTTCAATAGTCTCTCGTGGGGTGTGTAATAAAATCAAACGACGAGTATACATGTCAAATGTAGGTCAAACACGCCTAATATACATTGATATAGAAAACTAAGGGAAAATGAGAAAGAGTTACATATTTACTTGAAAGAATGAATAAATAATGTTTGAAAAAATTAGTATTTCTTTGGGTTTTAAGATGGCGGATGTACTCGTCAAACAGAGTTAACCCTTTAATCTATAATTTCTCTCATAACTGCGCCCGCAATAATCACTTTGACATTAATAATTTACTAGAAACAAAGAAGAAACTCATATTCACTTAAATCCACATATTAACCCTTTGCACTCGGAAGTTTCTCACCAGAAATATTTAACATTTTTTCACGAGGCAAAGACGATATTCTTTGAAACTAACTCGAACAGAAATCACAATTACATTGAGGAACAAAGCTATTTCATTCCAATATTTCAGGCATCGAGGCATTATACAAAGTTCAACGTTAAATATCAGATTTTATAGTTTTACCGCGTGAAATCAAGTGATGACCAAGGGTCACCTTCCGGGTGCAAAGGGTTGAATCGTAACAATTGACCACAGAAATACAATATTTAATTTGATCTCAAGAAAATTGAGATTTAATTATTTCTGTTAATCCCTGTTTGAAATCTTCGCCACTGTTCTGACAAAACACCGTGCAGCAAAGGGTTAACTGGCTAAACTACAGTTACTTATCGTACAAAATTTGATTGAAAGAAAAAAGGAAAAGTATTCGCCTGTTCCTATTTATTTCCTGGCGATTAGCGTTATTAGCCAAAACGTATTTCTTCCTGTTTTCCGTTTCACACGGGATTTGACAAATAGAAGCGATTTTGCCCATTGGCAACCTGTTCCGAACAATGATAGCGGACCACACGCAGGCGGGAGGAGTGAAGTAGCTGCCGCAAAGAAACCTCTTCCTGGCCAACCTATCGAAACCTTTCAGCGAAAAGCAGGATACGTCGCTCGTCCACAATTCGGCTCATTGACAATTGCTGCTAGTAAATCAATATGGCGGCGCTTTTGTAGGACCGTCAAGACCCACGGAAAAATGGTGATGCGGTCACAGCAAAGCTTTGCTCCCACGCCGCCTCTATTGTAGCGGCTGCGATATAAGTGGCGTCGAACGCCGACTTCAAGGTGTAAATGTCAACGACAAAAAGAAGGGAAACTGGAAGATGACCTTTCCTGTTTACCCTCCAGTGGGTGTGCACTGTGATGCGTCGCGTTTGTGATGCGAATGAGTTGCATTTTAATTTCTATACTAAACACAGAATATTTCAAAATTATGCACAACGCGTACGTACTTTTAGGCGCATTTTATTCCTTAACATTTATATGATCGTTTTTAATATATGGACACCATGGATACTTGTAGAGGGAATCCCCCTAGCCTTAGACACTTATAGCTTTTTTAGCGGTATTTATAATTATACATGTCTTTTAAATTATTTTTGTGCATGAATTTGTATTAGAAATCTTACAATGAAACAAATGGAATAGTCGAAATCAATATATTTATTATCAGACATATTCAATAAACTTGTATCCAGATTGAATAGTCAGACTCTTCTAGTATCAGAAATATTCGCAACCACATTATTTAACTGTCAGTGGGATAATACGTCGCAAAGGTTAATAAAAAATTTTAGTTCAACAAACATGTCGCTTGAATTCCATCTAAATACAGTGAGGTTTAATCTGTAACTTATGTTATCAAAAATGGATATTTAAAAGTATTCTAAGTTCGAACAATTTAGAATCAAAGTATACCTTAGATAATATTCATTATTAGTAATTTTTATGCACAATATTATCTCATTTTATGAGCACACTTAATTGAAAAAAATTAATAAACAACTGTACATGTTATTCAAATAGGTTTAATGTTTTCTGTATAACGACTATTATAATAGTGGCAATGATTAACCCCTTGCCCTATGATTTATTTTAACTGTGATCGATACCACTACTCTATCATTAATAATTTATTAGGAAAAAAAATAATTTTGATGCTTGTTTTATGCCTATGTTTCCTCCAAATGTTAACGATTGGTAATAGAAAAGTAATATTTAATTTATATTTAAAGAAAATAAATAACACTTAGATTCTTCGAGTTCAGTTTAAAATTTTCATCGTGAATCTGACACGACATTGTGGGTCAAGGGGTTAACAGAATAATTCATTCATGAAAATTCATATCCCAAGGTATCTATAGTATCGATACTCTAGAAAGTCAGTGCTCGGGGCACCCCCTATGAAGCAGGGTAGTAATTTGGTGTAGACCATTGTGCCAGCAGAGATCTATGATACCAACCAATGAAAGAGTTTTTTCATCCACGAATCCTGTCTTCTGTCAGTGTCGCTGATTTCTCTTATTTCCGACGATCGCTGCTTTTATCCCGTCACTGACGAAAGACTTAACCACTGAGAGATATTCCCGTCGGTAATAATGTGGACATCTTATGAGACTTCGTGTTCGATAGTCTGAAATACCGATTGTGCAAAAGGCAAACGTTATGATACGCCCTCTACGAGTAAAAGTGGCAAATTTAAGAATTATGCTCGGATCGATAATTAAAATTGGCAATATCGAAAAGAAATTAATAGGTTATTATAATTTCTTAAACACTAGATTTACGGACATCTATTCTACAGTTTATTCTATTGTTCCCAGAAAAATTGATGTCGTTCTGTGTAGATCTAGGAAATCAAATATTTAAAAATGTATTATCAGGGACCATAATCAAGTAATTGAATCAATCTAAATCGACCTAAACATTTACCAAGTAATATTTATAAAATTCAATATAAGTCAAATTGACTCGTTTAGTAAATCTAGTCTTAAACACTCATATATTTAGAACGTTTAAATGAACTAGCTCTGTAAGGTTAATATTTTTCATAATTAGTCTGACCAAAAAACCAATTTTGTAGATGAGAATAGAATTAAAATTATGATCATAGACTTTTATTTATTTTTTTGTAACAACTACTATATCACGAAGTCTTGATGTTTCATCGTTTAATTATAAAATTCCAAGAAATAGCAATAAGAATTCATTAATCAGTCAAGATTTATTTGTCCTTGTTAATTTATAAGAAAAACCATTTAAAGAACAATGCCAGGATATTAGGATAGTTAGGAACACTTTTATGTCATCATTATTATTATTCGCTTTATTGTCATTTCATTTACTCATTATTGTCTAGACAAACACATAAATACATTATCATAAAATCGAAGATGATTAACCAACAATATGCACGAATCGCATCAGTAATAAATCGATGATATCATTCAATCGGAAACAACCATGTCGAAATCTTCCTGATTGAAAATCACATTAATATACACATATTACACAGTATTCTATTACTTCTACTTATTAGTAATGAAATATATATATATTATAAACAAATAAAAGCTGAATTTGCGTTATTACTATCGAGCTTGTAAGCCCTGAGTACTAAGATTTACACCGACTACTGGTATATGTATATCGAAGATCACGTCACGGCTTCCTTAATTGTATTTTTCAGCTATTGTAAATGTCTACTGTAGAGAAGCATTAAAACATTGCGATATAGTAAGTCGAATGAAAATATCTTAGAATATTTATCCAAAAGGTTCGCGAGGAACGTTTTATCTTTCGTTAGACAAACTTTCAGTTACATTTCGACCGAATTTTTCGATTGTAGAGACTGTTTTCTTAAACTCGAGTACAGAAACATCTGAAGTTATCAAATCCTATGTTATTGTTTATTTTATTTATTGTCAGGTGAATATATTTGTATTTTCAGCGCAGTCGGGGTTCCGAGTTTTTTAAGAATAGATGTCGATTAAAGAAACATTAAAAGCACTTTACGTATTTTGCTTGTTAGACTTATTTTACATCCTAACAGAAAGACACTTATGATCTTGCAAAAGAGCTTGAGGCGCGTTTGATAATATTACTGACTTTATAATGTTATTATAAACACTAACACGATATTATTGTCATTGATTATTGTCTAATATGTAATTCAATTGTCGTCAAACACATACAATTTTGTAATAATATTTATAATAGAAGTTGTTTTCATTGATAGTACATCGAAGATATCTCATATATCTAATCTTCTGATGTAAAGAACAAAGTATAAAACTCAAGCTCTGACGCAAAGTATCACTGCAGCAAATTGTCTTGCTCTCTAATAAATAATTTGATACGACTACGAAAGTATTTCAATTAAAAATTGTTACTAAAATTGCAACTAAAAATGGAATTTAATAATCGCCATATATTTGTCCGTAGAAACAACATGTAATCTAATAAGAAAACCTTAAATTGTGAAAGCTACTTGAAATTTTTAATTGACTGAAGAATTAAAATTAAAATGATCCAAATTAAAAGATATTTATAATACATAAAACAAACTAGTGACATTTTATACGTCATATACGAAACGAAATGAATTTCGGTATGTAGAGTTTCATTCAACTATTATAATAAAAAGATCATTTCGTGAATGAAATTACTTCATTCAATGAACCGTGCGAAGCTTATACGAAGAATATAACACAATTTCTGTGGTATCCTTTAAACGAAATTTTTACAATATCGATATTTCAAAAAATATAACGGAAACTCATATAAAATGCCTATAAAGCATATCCTAGGTCTCTTCTGCGACAAGAAATTGATGTGCGCTGACCATACACTTGAGACAGAGTATCCTAAATCTGTACGCCGGCCGGAAGGTAGAGTCCTTCGAAGCAGCATGTTTAGAATTTTCAGCTTTCATCTTTTGCTGTACCCGTTGGAAAAAATTGTAGAGATAAGCTTATCGGTATTATTAATTTCGCACACGACGAGTAGCTGGATAGTCGGTTTATGGCATTTTGGGGAATTTCTTTCTAAGAAAATTATCGGTCGTTGATAACAAGAACCTTTTGAAGCCGTGTCGACAATCTTCGTGCAAGGCTTGAACGTGGGGCGAACCCGCTTTAAAATGTGGCCTTAAAGACCTTGTTGACGGGGCGGAGGAGTTGTTCGTGGACGACTCATCTCCGGGATTCTCCCTGAAATAGAGCACACAGATTTGCGTCAGATTGCAAAAGAATATGGAATAGTCACATTAACACTAGAACTACCGAGCAGTCGAACTGGCTTTTTCTTATTCTCCTTTAACGCGTTAAATGCCGCGCGATTTCATAGAGCAAAATACACAAAATGGAAGAAGGTGTAATGTTAAATCATCTGATTGAATCGCATTGTTATTATCGCACGTTCATATAGCTGGACGTCATCGTATTAGATAGCATTATTTATAATATAGAATTGTTTTCAAATAATCATGATTTAATTGAGCGATCTATAATAATCCGATTTGGTTGGTCACCGGTGACCCCCATGGCATTCAACGTGTTAAGAATTATAAGAGTGCATTCATTTAGATTTCAATTGACTTATATATCTCAATTTGTATGCTACCGAAACAAGTTTTTTAGTCATTTCTTCGAGTAGCATTTGCATATCGTCAATAATTGCGAAAGACGAAATTAGAAAGGGGTGATTTTCAGTCGTCTGGTAGTTCCAGCGTTCAGTCGTGTAAGACGAATTGTTAGACTTCTTGTCAAACGATGAATTACACGTTTAGAAATTACGAATCGAAAATATATACAAAGAAATGATTTGATTACTGGAATGTTTATTTGAATTAAAAAGTCAAGTTTCCTTTTTCTTCAAATAATCTAGCATTTCGTATTACACGAATCGTAAGTAGTATTTATACTAAACAGAGAATTAATTTGTGTGAACTATTAGAATGTAATCCTGGCTACATGACATTTTCAGAAGTTTAAACGTTTGTTTGCTAATTGTGACGGATACAACATTGTTTTTAATATAGAAACATTAAGACATAACGAACTGTCCATTGCTACACAGTAATACGTCTATAGAAGCGAAATAAAGTACATAAAGTGTTCGTCGATGAAAACCCTGTTCCGGGCACCTAGATTCTGTAACTCGCTGTGTTCAATCCTAAAACTATTCTGAACACACGGCACTTACCTAATATGTAATTATTGGATTGGTTGAAGAAACCTTGTTGTTTCATATGAACGAGCCTTTTAATAAATCCATTCTAAAATGATTTATCGAGCAAAATGTGCAACGCTAAATTTAACCCTTAACGACCCAGTAGTGCCCGACGAACACATGTTCAAATTGATTCATTTGTGTAAATTGACTTTTTAAATAAATTATTGTAGTTTATCAGTTCGTATTCATAATAATTTTAACTTCAGTAATATAATCTGTAAATTATTTACTTTACTTTAAGTAAATGTTAAAGACACTACTGATCATTTAGGTACAATAAAAAGTTAACGAGGCAAAAGCTTTCCGGAAACATCGTTGAAAGACACAACAAGGCTTCTTGACCAATCAAATACTTAACATTCCAAGTGGCATAATGTTTTTGTTAAATAATAATAACGTAGATATTATTTAACTTTAGAATCGCACATGCGTGTCTCAAATATTACTGAAATTTCTGTTTTCGGTTATTTCTTTTACAACAGACAATAAACTTTAATCACTTACACTATTATTTCCTGCGCGTAACTGCATATTTCATTAAAAAGTTAGTAGAATACAATTTGTGAAACACGATGCGTCACTCGCGAATCATATTTCCGAAATTTTTGATTATACATCTTAGACGTTCGGATTTCGGATTAGGAAATAAATCGTTTAGTTGTGAACCGTTTGTTTCGTAAGGTCAATTGTCATAAATTTAGCTGACATTTTACCTATATTAAATTGCAATGTTCCCATTGTAATGGTCTGGAAAAGGCAGAAACAAATGGCTATGCCTCAAACGCATACAAACAATAATTCATCTATCTTCGGTTTTTTCGATCTGTCAGCAGTATGAACCTGTACACGTCATGAAAGATGTAACCGAATGTTTAGTAGTAAATCCTGCATACTTCAATAAATTAGATCTTTCAATTCATAGTTTCATTCTCCTAATAATTCTTTCCTCAAAGAAACATATTTACAGGTTCATCTTATTGTATTATCCTATAAAGATGCAATAATTTAGTTCAACATCAGATTGTTAAGACATTAATGCACGATTCTATAGTTAGATAGTAATTTACAGCATGTAGCAGTTTTATAAATGTAGCAGCTCTAACATCGAGTTATAGATAACGAAGTATTAATATTTGAAGTACTAAAGTGTCAATTGAGAATTGCTGAAGTGATAGGTAAAGATAAAAAACTTGAGGCAATAGAGCTTGGGTAACCTAAAAATTTCCGTTTCTTTTATCTTTGCTATTTTTTTGAATTTCTGAAGTGAAAATTCCCCTAGATCGAAATACTGTATATTTTCCTATTCTCTTGTACATACAATCGGAAAATTATAGGAGATGTTAAAAAATTATTACAATAAAACTTTAATTGCTGGTAGTGGTCTATAATATTATATAAAATATTTTCTACACATTATTGAATAAGCAACAACAGATTTTTAAGAATTTTACTGAGAAGTTTTATAGAGTACGAAATAACTTTAAATTTATATTGTAGTAACTTTTTATATATACTTGAGTTATCAATACCTACAATAAAGAAATACCTGTTATCCTTTGAGAGACTTGAACAGAGAAACTGGTTCATATGAAAATCGATCATATAATAAAGTTTGAAAAAAATGGAAATTTTCAAGTTACCGAAGTTCTTTGATTAGTAAGTGAAATCCAGTTTGTGCGAACAAAAATATTTTTGATTTGAAACATTTTGCTCACTGGAAGAAGTGTCAAAATAAAGTGAACCGAATTATAAGAGTCACATAAAATATTCGTTTTATAAATACAAAATATAAAACAGAAACTTCGTTAGAAATAAGAAATCTGAGTATGTAATTGAAGAAACAAGTATTCGAAATTTCTTCGTCGCCCAGAATGTTTGTTCTTGACAGACAGCTGAACATCGATTTCTTGCATAGTTAACAGTTGACCTAGTTAATAATACATTAGAGACTTAATCTAACAATGATCTAACAATAATCTAATAATAATCTAACAAGTATCTATGAAATTAAAACACAAAACAATCCTCCGATTGTTTAGGTTATGTTGCATCCCAGTGATCCAGAGATGTTCCGCCAGCCAAAACAGCAATCTAACATCGAGACGTCAACGTGACAATTCACTACCACAACTATCTACATAGAAAAAAACAGGAGTTGAAGAGGAAACACGTTTGATGAACGTATGGCATGAAATGGTAGCTGCAGCTGCCACTAGTATTGCGATGGATGCTGTTATAACTGTACCTTTGCTCTCTCTAACAGTCAAAGGATTGCTCTTTGACAAGGACTTCCTCTTACTAGCAGATTACACGCTTCTCTACTTATATTTCGTCTCCGTTCAAACGACTAATTTCGTTCCTGATGATTGTCAAGTACACTTCGATGGTTCGTATAGCGTTGACGCAACAGCATGATGACATCACGCGAGAAGGCGAAAGGTGGATGAGAGAAGATATAGGGATAGTGGAAAAGAGACATATAAAAACGAAGAGAAAAGTGAAGGAGAGCAGGTGAGAACCTAATGGTCTGACCTGCCAACTAGATACCGGGGTGATCGCGAAAATCGAGAGGCCCCTAAAGGTGGAAGCCAACCAATTTGTGCCAAAGATCCGATGTGTCTTTTACTTGCTTGAAATGTTTCCGGGTACCCGGACTGTTCTACCATCAGCTGCAACTCTGGTACAGAACCTGTTCCTGGCATTCATAGACAGCGCTCAATTTATGTTCAACTGTGGACTACTCGAGTTTAATAATTCGACATGTTCGCGGATTTCATCGCGAACGGGTGTTCCCGTTTTAAGGAGCGAATTTTTATTTGCTTTAGATCAAAAAGTAGCGAAGGTAGATATTGACAAAATTACTAAATATCAAATGTAACGTTCCGTTTCGTATAGCTGCCGAAATTGACTTTATCATATTCATCTGAATCAAGTGAAAAATAATAACTCTATGGCATTCCGTTCTTGAACGGAAACATAATTACAAATCTTCTATATTTTAATAACTGAAACACCGCACATTGTGAATAAATTAGTATATATATGAACTTCCCCTATAGGTACATAAAATACAATAAATACCATTCTTTATCAATATCTTCTTATTTCTTTCACTACCACGCCAAAATTTAAATAGAACACCAGCCATCTATCTCTTTATCTAAGATCAATACCAAAATAAAATCCGACAAAGCTCATTTTCCCATCGCCCTAATCAAAACTTCGTTACAATGCACCGGAAGCTTCCTTCCTTTCAAAGGTTCCCAATCGAGTTAAGTCGCGCGTCTCATCGACCACCGATAACTTAATCACCAACGAACAAAAACGTTTCACTTACCCATGAACCTTTTCTCAGCGTTCAGATACTGACCGCCGAGGGTGTCCATCATATCTTCGTAATCGAAACCGTTAGTGTTCTGCATGACCGGCATAGGATACTCCTCGGAGAAGTCGATCTCTTTCTTGGACCTCCTGTTTGAAATGGCTCTCAGGATCACGCTGCTTGGGATCGAAATGCCTCTCTTGAGGGTAATAGGCCAGGCCATATTTTTCGCCAAAGAGGAGACGCTCCTTTTTCCCTGTTCGCGCCATGGGAAGTCTCCAGTTCTAGCCAAGGAGCCGAGGTTCCGTTTGCCGTACGGAAGCCCGTAATCTCTCGCGATGGATCCCACGTTCCTTTTGCCAGTTTGGGGCAACGTGTACGTTCTGGCCAGGGAAGCGACGTTTCTTTTACCGGCGAACGATACCGCTTGATCTTCAGCGGCGTTCCCTTTGCCCTGGAGTTCTTGATCCCTCACCATCGACGCGATGTTCCGTCTGCCCTGTGGTAGCGCGAAATCTCTGGCCAGAGTGCCGACGTTTCGCTTCTCCATCGGGTAATCTGCTGTCAGAGCTGCCGCGTCCAGCACCGAGCGAGGCAGGAAATATTCCCGGGGAATTTTCGGGCCGCTTGGTTCGGAATCGCCGCTATGCAGACAAAGGGTTCGCAAAATTACGGCAAGACATATTGTAAGCAGGGCTTCAGATATAAATGCAGGGTGGAATTTTTAAAAGAGATCTATCAATTATGTATTAATAAATCGGTTAAAAACGCAGAAAGCATCTTAGTGCATAGGAATGCTTGAGATTCTGTTATGGTAATATGGTCGTCGACAAATGCGATTTAATTAAGTAATCGAGAAATCAGCGGATCATTTTTATCCAAAGAAGGAAAATTATTTTAGCTAATATTGAAAGCAAGGAAGAATGATTGAATAGGATGTAGGGTTTTGAGGCGAAGTATTTTTTCTTACTTTTAATAATAGTGGGAATAATTTAGGTGCTCTAGTTAACATTAACATCTTGTATATGAACCGGACAAGTCATAGAATTGGGAATATAGGAGTGGAGTATAAACTCAGGTCTCAAATAAGCTGGTTTACCGCTATTTGTGAAGCAGATTTCCAGAGTGACGTCTGAATTTAATGGATATGCCACGCATATTCTGCCCCGTTCATTGCGAATAATTATCAAACACGGGTTACTCGTGATACAAGTTAAAAAGATATTCATCCTTATCGCGTACGGAAGCCTGTTTATTTAAAAACTATTTTTGTCTCTATATTTTTATATGTATTCATGTATTCACGATTCAAATATAAATATAGGATGGACTTTTTAAAAGAGATCTGTCAGTAAATTATGTATTAATAAATGAGTATTCAATCTTTGGAATCAAAACAACCGAAATGCGGAACGAAACGCAGAAAGCATCTTACTACATACAAATGTTCCAGATTCTGTTATAGTAATATAGTCGTCGACAAATACGATTTATTTAAGTAATCGAGAAATCAGCAGATCACCGTTGTCCAAAGGAAAGAAAATTTTATTAGATATTTTGAATAAATAATAATATATTCTTACCAGTAATGAGTATGTTAGTAAGAAATATACTAATATACCAAAGGACGAATTATATGAAATAAATTGTATGTAACATTCTTTTTGTAGTTATAAATAGATTTTTTCCGTAAAAAACGATTGTGCAATGCCATTTATAAACGAATTTTCAGTAGTACAAAGCACATGGATAGTTTAAAATATACGTGATAATTATTTCTAGTGAAAAATCTTTCGAGTGCGAAGGGTTAATAAATGATTACTGACAAAGTAGTTGAATTGATCATAGTTGAGCAATAAATCACAGGGCAAGGGGTTGAAGTAAACGTGTTATTCACCTGGAGATAACAGTCCTCTTTTCTTCATCGTCCTGGTTTTCATTGAGTCGGTCCTGAATGCTGATCGGCAGATCATCGTTTTTGGCTAGCATCGCGATGCTCCTTTTTTGCGAGCCCGGTTCCAAAAGCTCCGCGTCAATTTCTTCGCTATCGTCGAAGAAGCCTCCCGATACGTCTGGCAGTTTTTGCGCGTGCCCGATGAGATGTCCACGCAGGACCGGGTCTTTAAACAGTTCTAAATACATTGCGGGGGGTATACGGATCACCGTGTCATCGCCGCTTCCTTCGGTTAAAGCCTTTAAGTGCGCCATGTCATTGCGGTTTTTCGCGTCCTGAATCACGAAAGTCTTTTTGGGTATACACTGAGGGCTCTCCTCATCCTGGCATCTCACCTACGCCATGAAACAGTATCATTTAATTACATTCCCATTCCAGCGGACTGTATTACTTACTGGTAGCGTACAGTGAATAATTGGAATACTCAACGGGAGAAGAAGGTTGCAATTATGAAGAGATAGAATCGAATTCATCCTAAGAAACGAATGAAACAGAAAGAAAAACCTTAAGACTTTTAACCCCTTGCGGACGAAGATTCTTTGAAATGTACAAAAGCTACAGCAGATGAAGTTAAATTATACATCGATTGTTTAAATAATGGAAAAGGAAACTACGCACTGATCTGTTGCTATTTGAGTAATTCAATCATTTTATTGCAACTTAGTCTTCCAAGTATGAACATTTCATCTCGCCGAGATATCGATGTTCGTCCGCAAAGGGTTAATACTAGAACCGAGCATTTAATACGATCGATATGTAATCCCTGAAAATTGTAGAAATAGATTATTTTCAGTTTCTTCAAACATTTATTATAGTATTCAAGTGAAATTATTTTTAAAACCATTTCGAATATTCGATACTTTGAAGGTATCAATAATTGCGAAACAAGAAAATCAGAACTAGTCATTTTGACTGGTACGGTAGTTCTAATGGTAACTCAAACATCAAACAGTTATATAATTGATTACATATTCCGTTAACACGTTGACTGCCATGGGAGTCAAATCGAATTACTATAGTTCACTCAATGAAACGACGATTATATGAAAACATTTCTATATTATAAATAATGCTACATAATACAGTGACATTCAGCTAGATGGACGTGGAATAGTAATAATGCAATTCGATCAAATGATTTAATATTATATTTTTTTCATTCGGCGTATTTTCCTCTGTGAAATCGTGCGGCATTCAACATGTTAAATTATTGTACTTTAGTACCAAGTTTAAGTCCATCAAAATTCTTAATCTGGAAAGATTCAGTTGAAAAAGTAGGTGATGCGTTGTAAAGTAAATATTTACACTGTGCTTCCTCAAAATCTCATTTTACGCTTTCTACCTCGTGGACGATCAACTATGAAATATTCATATGATGTTTCTTCATGGTTATATAAAATATGAACATGATTATATGTATATTTTATAATGCACGCTCATACTGCGGATATATTGTAGAATATTTTATTCGTGAATGATATTTCTATAATAATTTGTTCATTATTAATAATATTAATTACTATTTCTCAAACTTTGAACTGTACAAGCTTCGAACTTCTTTAAACCCTAAAAATAGATAAAGCCACGTGACTCATAGTTTGTCCATAAGTTAATGGTTATGAAAAATTTCTCTCCTAATATTTTTTAAAGAATTTTGAGCGAGCAATTATTTATATTTTTCTGAGTGAAGGAGAACTGATCATGAGAAATATTTAAGGGAACTTTGTATTTCTTTTAAGTTGTAGATTTGATGATTTGAAGATTTGAAGATGATTTGAAGATGATTTAAAGATTTCAATGGAAAAATCAATTTTCTTTTACAATTAATTGGTTTCTCAGGATGAAAAATATCTGAGTAAGAAGTAAATGAATTTTTTTTAAATTTGCCATTTACATAACAAGATTTTACAGCGTCAATCTTTGAAAACTTCTGTCTTTGAAAAATATCGAGCACTTGTTATTTAGGTATACAGAGATTTTCACCACGAAACTGATCAATTTCGTTGACGTGTTTGAGAGATTTATTAGAATTACAATAGAAAAGCTGTATACAAACAGTGTTTCAAGCCATTACCGTTGCTGAAATATGGATTGAAATACCTACCGACATTTTTGCAATAGGAACCGTACAAATTCGAGAATTTTACAGGAACGAAATTCGCCCGCAGTGCACTCGAACACAATCGCCAAAAATGTTGCGATGAAAATCGAGTGTCAGATATGTAGTGAGTGTCATGCGAGAAATCACGCATACATAATCACGAATTTCAACAAGAAAGGAAAACCAAATAAAAAGAGAAAATAATAAAAATTATCTTTAAACATTGTTTTATGAAAATAAAAGCGGTTAAACCAAATGTTTAATACCAATGATAAAAGAAACGCTTGACAATTGAAACAATATATTAAATGGAGCATCTAAAAATTGATTAAAAGGTTGACCATAACGATCGATCTTCTAAGTCCAAAAAGTATTAAAGTTCCATTTCTTAGTATTTGAATTTAACCATACAAAGATGTGAAACTAACCTATTTTAAATAAAACAAATTGTTTTTAAATTATAAGAATGACTCAAACAGTAAACTCACAGGAGTATATTAAAAGGACTTTCGTAAAAATCACTTGCAAATTAATAATTTTAACGTAAAGTAGCAGCTATAACTTCGCAGTCCATAGATTAAGATGTTTACTACCTGGAAAAATAAAATAAATATTGCGAATAGAGAAGTGGAAGCATTGGCTATTTTTAAGATTATTACTAATTAAAAGTCTCACGAAATTATGACCAGCTGCTAATAGCAGCATGCACAAGGTGGATCAGTTTGAGGAACAAAACAATGACATACTTGTGGCGGATTTCAACCGTCAATTTGCTCTCGATTCTCGGTTTATTTCAGCTTGCACAATCGTTCCTTAAAATATCTGCTACACGTCTAGCCGAGTATCCTGTATATTGAACTTTAAGCCACTTGAGCCGGATCCTGTCGGACGCGTCACGAGTTTGTCGGAACTTCGTGTTTCACATAACTCGAATAGCTCGAAACATGTTTGAAAATGTTGTGCTTGAGGTTGGTTCGTATGCGGTCAAGGGGTTTAATGCTAATAATTACACGCTTTCAACAGGTATTTAATCCTTTGCGATTCTATGTCAAAGTAAACTCGACAAATTTGATTCCGCTATTTGTAATCAATAAATAGTTCTGTTTACTGTCAATAAACAGTTCTATAAATTCCATAATCAATAAATAGTTCCATATATAAATAGTTTTATTTATTGATTAATTTATTAACAATAAATAAAACTATCAATTTATTAACAGTACATAAAACTAAATAATAAATAAAGAATTCTTAATAATAAATAAAACTATCAATGTATTAACAGTACATAAAAGTAAATGATAAGTAAAAAAATTCTTAATAATAAATAAAACTCTCAATTTATTAATTTATTAATGTATCAACACATTATTTCTTAAAAGCCCAACATTAACGATGCACATAGTTTAATTACAATAGTTTGCGTCATATACCATAGAATTATTAAAAACACCATATGTCCCCATACTTTCAAAGAGCAAAGTATCTTAAACACGAAAAAATCAAAGGTCGCGTTCGGACATTTAATTTCCAGGATAAACGATGTGATTTAAGATTGAAAGAAATCATTGGAAAAACGTCATTGTTCAAATTTATGCCCGCCGCAATGAAATTAATCGCCGTGTAATGGGTAAACCGAAGGACGGCTGCGCCGTAATTAAACATTCGCGTGGGAGCCAAATGAGTTCGTTCATTCATATCGGTGAAAACATAAAATTCGATTAATGATTGATATTCATTTCATAACGACACGGTTCCGTTTTCGGTTCGCGTCGAACGATTCGTTGAAAATTAATTACCGTAGTTACGCTGGTTACCATTAAGAATATTTACAGTTAGTAACGGAAGTATCCGAACGTTATGTATGTTTACAAGAAAACCTTTTCAACCAGCACACGCCAATTTTGATGAAACTTATATTAACATAGTTATCAAGAAAATATTTCATACATATTTTCTTTTATTAGCCAACAGCCACTTTGAAGGGGTGAAAGCACCCGTCAAAGTTCAGAGTTGAAAGTATATTTTTTACAATAAAAGAAATCTAAATTATTCATTTCGGGATGAAGATTTTAAAGAAATAATTTCTTTCCTATATACTCTAGTTTCATATATCTTCATTTATTGTCAAATATTTTCTTGAGAACCATGTTTTACGTGAATTTCATCAAAATCAGCGTGTGCTGATTGAAACGGTTCCCTTGTGAAGTACAAGAAATCTTTCATAATTTGATGATAAATATTTTTTAAATGCTATTATACGAATACAAATTTTTTCAATAAATAGCAATATACGGTATAGAATATTTTTAATGGTAATTTATTTGTTACCATGCTGTTCAAACACCTTCGTTGCTGACTATATATGCTTGTACACATTATTGCATTACTTTAACCCTTTGACCTATAATATTTAAAGAAAAAAGAAACTATTGTTTTTGCTCCTCCGAAACTACTGTATAGCGACATCCTAATCCGTGGTACATCCAGCCTGCAGTGCGACAAATTTTATTGCAGAGCCATACTGCAGTCGAACATGATCGCCATGATTGTGCTACGAATCACTCCATAGTCCTATACGTGATACAATTATTATATTAACATTAAAACTACCGAGGAGTTAAATTGTCTTCTCGAAATTTCTCTATAGAAACTGCAAGAATGCATCTATTGAAACATTAATTGATTTACAATTCAGTTTGCGTATTGCTAATCAAATTCTTTAATAATTTCTCAAAAATCTGTCATCTTTTGAATCATTGCAAAAGGAAGAAATCAGACGTGGGTCATTTTGACGCGTCTGGTAGTTTTAATGTTAAAGGAGACCATCTAAAGATGTCCTAAATATGAGTAAACTTTAAAAATTTCTGTTTTGATTCTTCATTTTAATTTTTAATAACTATTGAGTGAAAACTTTTCTACGTGTATAACTGTAACCTTCTGCTTTATATTTATATCTTTTCTAAGCCAAAATGTTACAAAATGGCGCACAGTCCAAGAGTTAATTAACAAAAGATAAGATGACACTGGTCTGTAATAACCTTGGTGCGCGAATCTCTATGATAATCAAGAGCGTGTCTCATTAAATATATTTCCCTCGCCCCTTTCCCTGAATACACGTAACATTGCCCTTGTCCTCCAAAATTACGTTGCTATCATAAAGTGTCGCTCGCATCAAAATGCAAATGGATATTGTAAAATGGTATTTAATTAAACTATTGATTAATAAATATC